AGAGAGAGAGAGAGAGAGAGAGAGAGAGAGAGAGAGAGTTCTTCTTCTTCCTCCCCCAAGTCCACCATCTCTCCCTTACCCTCTCGCCACCGGACTTCTCACTATCTGACAGACTACGAGAGAGAGAGAGAGATTTGTGACTTTGAGAGTTGACGACATTTGGATTCAGACTCGACATTGGGACCGAGACATTGGACGAGGGATTATTTGGGGCCTATATTGAAGACTTGGTGTTGACGACATTCCCATCTTCCCCCTCTTCTTCGTCTGATCCCCCTCCTCCTCGTCTGTGTGTGGTTTGGGACTGGCGCATTCTTCCTGTGTGAGCGCCAGCCCCTTTCACACCCTGCGATGATGATGATGTATGTTTGGTCTGCATTGCGACATTGATTCGTCTGATCATGGGTATTTCAGCCTTCCGCTGCGCTATCCTGTACTGTGTGAGGTCGGTTCTTGTTCTGGTCTGCACCATTACGGTATGCAAGATGTTGGGTCTCTTTTTTTCCCCTTACCAAACCAGCCCATCCAAGTCAGTGTGATCACTGTGATGCCACTGTCATTAGTCTCTTCAATTCCTTGGAATATGCCGTCTCATTGCAAAAAAAAAAAAAAAAAAAAAAAAAAAAAAAATTAAAAAAGTAAAAAACCGTTTGAAGCTTGAAATTTGGAGACTGGGGCTGCCATTTTTGGGGGTAGTCCTTTTGCAATCGATAGGATTGAATCATAGTCGCGGCGCACCTCGGTGCACGGATTTGCGCACGAATTGCACGCCGCGTACCGCACAGCGCACCGAACCGCAGCGCACTGGAAAAATTAGGTCCCAAAAAAAAAAAAAAAGTAGGGGTTTTGTAATTTCTTAGGGCCCCCAACTCGGCAAAAATGTTAAACTCACCACGCGAACTCGGAAACCGGCCGCGCCCCCTGCCCGCATTTTTCTTTTGGGTAAGGGCTGTCGAATTTCGATTTCCTCAGGCCCTTCCCCCAAAGGTTTCAGAATGGCGAAGCATACAATAGGTCTCATTCCAACTTTCTTTTTAGGCGGGGTTTGGAAGCTGTCCTTCCCGCCCCCTTCTGCAAATCCCACACAGTGGTGGGCCTGGTGGCGTAAGCTCGCAAGAAGGGGAAGTCGCCTAATAACGACCTGCCCCGCGAAGCTTCGCAGATGTCACAAGTTGCGTTCTCCAAGGCCAGCCAACCGCCAATATATGCTGAAGATTGGCGTTCAGGTCTGCATGTCGGCAGTTATGGGTTAGGAAACTTAGGATGAAGATGGCCGTGGCTCTCTCGTTTTTTTGTTTTTGTTTTCTTACGAATACGTCCAGTGGGGCCTGCTCCACTACTCACCAAATGCACAAAAGACATAGCAAATGGCGGTGTATGGTTCCATGTTTTAGCAGAAGATTCATTCTACCAAATATTGTATACATTTGGTGAGTGGTGGAGGGAGGCCCTGAGAATGACGTGGAGACACGAATAGGGTCTAGCTGAATTGGTGACCCATAACTGCCGAGCTACAGCCCTGAGCTCGAAGCCACAGCATGTATTGGTGGTCTGCCCCTGGCTCTTCCATACATGACGACGCCATCCTTCTCATTGAAGCAGTGGCTCTCAATGGCTCCACGTGTATTGGAGGAGCCATTTGAGGTGCCTGCAGGGGCCCTCGTATTAACGTGAAGGGGACCCTTTGTTCTCTCTCTCTCTCTCTCTCTCTCTCTCTCTCTCTCTCTCTCTCTCT